AGCCAATGGCTATAAGGATAACTCCGGCGAGTTTCATGCCCGCAAATGTCGCACTGTACAGTATGACGTCGAGTGCTTGCATATGAATAGGTTATTAAAAAGAATTTATATCTCTATTACACTGCACTCAATATTAAAAGAAATATGTGTAAGATTGACTAATCTCTGATAGCGTAGATCTTATGACTCTACTCTAGACTCTCAACTCTTCAAATACCCGTTATTAACTTAACATTCAATTATATAATATTGCTTATTGTAATTGTAAATCACTGCTTATGCAATATTCGACTCATAAATTCCAAATTTATGCATTAGACTTAAGTACTATTAATAAGGCTACTCGTAAGCTACACAAATAATACTCATATTCATATTCATATATGCCCCAAATATTATATGTTATATGCTCTTTAGATATGTGTTTACTTGTACAGATTGCAATTTAAAATAATATATGGTCACGAAATCCTTTGGGCATAGTTTTTGCTATTATTGTTGTAATGGTTGGCCATACTAAATGCTGATTCGAGAGGTTCTTGTACGTACCACCAGAAACGGGCACAGCGGTTATCAAACCCAATGTCACAAACATGTTGTAGGTAACGGCGGCACTGAACTGCATGAGTACGTGGAAAACTGCAATAATAATTAATTACAACGTTAAAAATAGAAATGCTCTGTGTGGCGCAGGGAGCGGGATAACATATGCCTACCCAGGAGCAGGACGCTTGCTACAAGCAGCATGTTCCATGGTATGCTTTCTGATGTCAGATTCTCGGCGCCTGTCAGGTACAGTGCCAGCACGACGGGCCACAGCAGCAAAGCATTGAGCAACCCCAGTGCGGTGAATGTAAATGCGATTTGTGCCACCGGCGGATCGCCCATCACCTTGCGGAACATAACCTAGAAAGGGGGAGCATAGGACGATGTGAGCACGATATGGCCAAGACACGAAAAGGCTTGACTAAACGCTAAAGGCTTACCCTAAACACGGCATAGCCGGCTGCAGCTAACGTGGCCAACACGACCCCGCCTAACGTTCGACTCTCCGTAATGCCGTCCATGTAGGCGAGCAGCGCAATGCCCGTGTCGCACAGGATAACAGCCACAATCTAAGGTAGACATGGTTCACGTTGTTATTTTGCCTAGAAAATGAGGAAGAGGAGCAGCTGGCTGTAATACATACCCTAACACCAACGAACTGCTCATGCAGTATGACCCAAGAGAGTAAATAGACACAGGCAACGTTTGTTGCGAACAGCGCCAATGCATCCGTGGCAAAGAGGACATGCAGCGACAGGGTGTACAGGTAGGTGGTCACCAGCCACAGGATGCAAAAGGATAGACAGCGATTGAGGAAACGGCCTGTAAGTCAGCCGAATATGGCATTACAAAACAGATTGACCCACTTTAGCAGCCGCTTACCAATGGTGAAGCCTCGCTCGCGAAATCCTCGTATCACATCGGCGAGTATCTCGCTCAGTTTGTCGCATTTGCGAGCCGAGATGAGCCCTAGTATATAGATGGGGAAGAAGAGCAGGGAGAAATTGGTAAAGAACCAGGCCGCAAAGAACGGCGCATTAAAGTAGACGGGCTGGCGCGGTGGTATGTTGAACATCTCGGTGGCGTCCTCGACATGGTGCAGCGATGAGTCGCTTATGGCCAGTATATCCTCCAGTTCGGTGCTGAGCTCAGCGCGACTCGATGAGGTATCTAGATCGTCGTCCAGTTCATCGTCATATGGAGCGCGATACAAATACATGTACTTGATGCAGTGCGTGGCGCCCACCCACGAAGCAGTCACTAGAATCGTGACGCACACCCCAAAGTACATCTATAGCATAAATATTGTTGTTGTTATCAGTGAAAATCAAATTACATCGCTCATCGTATATTAACTCACCTTCTTGGCCAGTTCGGAGCAGCAGGATTCTCTGCAGGCCTTGAGCTTGCGAAAACGCACCTCCGCATCCTCGCCCGACTGCCCATTGGCCTGCTGATCTATTGCCAGTTGTCCAGTCTGTGTATCGTTGGAGTCGCCTCCAAAATTATGCTGTGACCCGTGCGGGTTAGTGGGTGTGTCCGCCTGTATGGTAATGACCTCATTCGGATCTTGTTGGCTCGATGATATTGAATCTTGGTGGGTTATTTGCGGATTGCTGGAGTTGAGCACATTGCTGAAGCCACAGCTGGAGACGGCGCCAATGCCGCTGCTGCTGGCACCGCCTCCCACGCCGCCGCTATTATTGTTATTGTACGGTCCATTCGACGAGGAGTCGCCGGTGACCACCACGGAGGGAGTGCGCACGCGTTTCGGATTGAAGATGGCTGGAATTTCGCCGTCACGCGTCATGCTATCATTGCCAACCGCCGCTGAAGTTCATAGTGTCCCGATCCTGTTGACCAAAAAGAAAATATAAATATCATGTAAGCAATAGAAAAGCATTGGAATATTTTAATTTATTATTTTTCCAGTTTTTAGCTCTTTATCAGTTTAATAAAACCTCGAAGAATTCTAAGATATTGTGCGAAATATTTTTCAATGGCTATTATAAAAGAAAGGTAAAGCTCACGTGCTGGACCCGATTAGTTGCGAGCCTCATGCAAGGCAAGCGGGCGCGGGTGTCGACTTCAGTTCAGCTTGATGGCCATCTTGCAGGCAATACTGAAGGCTTGTTACACGTAAAGGGCAAACCCGCACCCAATCACGCAACATCAAGCTCGAGCAATTTGCATACGCGCTTCGGCCAGCTGCTAGTTGGCCAAAAACCCAAGGCAGCCATGTTACAGTGCTAAACGGCTAACTGACCTCCTGCAGCGATAACATTGTTTTCTAATGCACAATGGTCATATATGTCTCACTCGCTCTCCCTTTCTCTATCTGTGTGTATGTGTGAGTGAGTGGGGGTACGGGTACGTCATAACAATGGGAATTATGAGTGGCTCAATGTTCAGGTCAAGTTGAGCCAAAGTCAACGTCGTCTGGTTGGACAATAAACATTCATATTGTAGCCGCCTGCCACAGCAAGTGGGGCAATTTGTTCAGCTTTTAGTGTTGCATTAAATATGGCTGCCCCCGCTCAGAGGCCGACGCAAAGTCCTTGCGTCCTTCAAGCTATCATATATACATTGTACATAAATCCCATTGGGAGGCCTACTGCTTGTCTGTGATAATGACATTCTAATTGAAACATAAAATATTTAGACCATATTCCGAAGCCCATTGGCAAATAGCATTACTTTATAGAGAGCCATCGATGAATTAATAGCTTTATAACGACCCGCAATCGACTGGTTGAATAATTGCACGGATATTTGCGGAGCTTTCGGAGAATCTCATGTATTTCAACTTATTGTACTTGTATCGGCATATTGATTTTCTGAAGTTTGACAGCTGTTTGCTATTGTATTTAATAAATAAGCAAAGTACACATACATACATGCATACATATGTACATATATCAGTAGAAAAGAGTAGTTTGAAAGTCTATTGAACTGAATGGAAAAATTGATTGCTGATTTATTTATAGGCAGCTTTAAGTTCTCAGTCTAACTTTAAAGCGTACTCAGAGAGAAATAGCTTCAACTATTCACTGACTATATGAGCTTTAATGCATGCTAAGTGATTGGAATTTGAATGAGCCGCTTTCAGTTTGCATTGCACACTCAGCTTGAATTGCAATAAATGCGGTAAGACGCGCTGGAAATATGAATGCGCCGGGGAAACTTATTTCATTCATAGTGTGGGCAATTGTGAATGGTAATTGTAAGTTGTTTAGACAATAATGAATTCTAATTGGTCATTGTGGACAAATCTTTTGGATCAGTAGGTGCAGTTAGTGCCGAAGCGAATTGCGGCAGGCTGGAGGAGCGTTTGCTCTTCAGAAAAGATCTATTCACGGAGCCAGCCGAGTACCCATGGATAGGCTTACTCGTCCAGCGCAGAGGTAAGCTTTGGAACATTCGCTTTAAGAGAGCCTCATTTTATCTATATTCAGATTTAGATCAGAAATTTGAGAGCGCCGAGTGCAATGTTGCTATCGTCGGCGAATCTCATGTCCTCACAACTGCATCTTGTGTGCGAAGGTTTAATAATAGGCCAGAGTTGGTAGCCGTACGTTTGGGCATTTGGGATGGGGAGAACGAGCCCGGCCAGCAGTATATCTGCAATGATAGAGGATTTTGTGTTCCCGGACCTGTGCAATACCTAGTTGATGCGATTACGATGCATCCGCTTGCGGACAAGGACACCGGCAATAACGATATTGCAATCTTACGGCTATCGCAGCGCATCAATATGACTGCGTACATTCAACCGGTGTGCTTGCAGCCCACCTTGGAGCCCGCTTCGTGGACGTCTATGGATTTTCATTACGGTGGCTTTCACGAGTATGACATCAAAAAGGGCAAAGGTAGTGTCATTGCCATCTCAAGGCAATATTGCAACAATGAAACGGGGACGCCGCCACCAGAGAATCAATTTTGTGGGTATCCGGAGTTTCGAGTCGCCTTCTACAAGGGCGCTCCAATGATGGGAATTAACGTTGAGCACGATGTGCCGAGCAGGTTTTACTTGGTCGGCCTACTGGCTAAGAATGTTGACGCGGGACAGACGCTTATGACCGTTTTCCAAGATATCAGACCTGTACGTCACTGGATATTAGATAATATAAACTCATCAAGCTCATAGTACAATACAAATCTGTTTTACATTATTTGTGTAATTTATTTTGCCAGAATATTCCATCACACGATTGCTGTAATTGGAAATTCCATCCGCATGGCAAACGGGTTTTCTTTTTGCTAGTTTAATTATATTTGATTGAGATAAGTTAGATGCGAGTAAGGTTTGTGATTTATTTCTTAGCAAATGAAATAAAAATTTAATATTTTGCTAGATTTTAATAACATATATACTAAATTGAAAACAAAATTAAATTTATTAAAAATATATATTTATTTTACACATGGTTTTTAACTAACATTAAGAAACATTTTCCAATGCTAAACTAATCGAGCAGCCCTCTTAATAATTTACAATATTGTAATAGCTTTGCCTCTGCCAATGCCGGGGAAATATGCAATTCCAGCTCAGTTAATCTCAAGTCGTCAGCCGCAATGCAGCTAGAACACGGTTTGATTAGTCTGTTGTTTGCCATCGCAGTTGTACATTCAGTAAGCTTGCAGGATTCCAAATGCGGCTACATCAGCGAGGATCAGTTCTTAAGAATGGATGCCTTTGCGATACCCACAGAACATCAGTGGTTGGCGGGCATTACGTACATGAATGGTAAGTGCTTCATTCAGTCTGAGCAATGTTCGGCACTACCTAGCAGGTCAAAAATCTTATCCGCAGGACAAGAGATGAAGCTGCAAAATAATGGCTGTGTTGGTGTCCTTATATCCAAACGAAATGTGCTGGCACCCGCTCACTGTTTCCTGCAGTACGATGGGCACGTCGAAGTCTTCTCTGTGCTGTTGGGCGTATGGAATAAGAGCTCCAGTTTGGGTGACGTCAGCTGCGATAGGAATGGCTTTTGCGTGCTGCCCGCCCAGGACATACCGGTGAAGGAGATCGCCATATACCCCGAATATGATCCACTAACTCTGAAGCATGACCTCGCGGTGCTCACACTACAGCGCGATGCACAGTTAACTCCAAATGTAATGCCCATTTGTATGCCGCCACCCTCGAAGGTCAATGAGACGCTGGTGGGACAGCTGTTCGTTGTGGCCGGTCTGCCCATCAAAGATGAACTCAAGCATAAGGCCTTTGTGCACATACACAGTCGGCCTTATTGCCAGAAAGAGCATAGCTCCCTCCTCAGCAGCACCAACACCGTCTGCGGCTATCAGGATAAAAGTATGATGTACCATCTGGGCGCTCCGTTGGTGGGCATACATGTGAAGATGGATGCGCCGCTAAGTTATTACTTGGTTGGCCTGCTACTCGACGCGAAGGAATATGTCGACGGAGAAAATTCTGTAGCTGCCAGCTTTCTGGATGTGCGCCCCTATCTAAATTTCATTAATCGTAATGCCGATTTCCTAATTGTAAGTGACTGAACTGTGCGGAAAATAAAGCGGGCAAGGACTGCCAACAGGTCGGCTGTGTTAATTATTCAGCTACCTCACTCTGTTGTCACCCTTACAACCTCGAATTTACGTGGCTTCATGCTCATGCAATATGCAAATTGTTTATATACTATTAATATCTGATATGAGAAACATGGAGATTGCAGTGGAAGTTTTCTGCTTTTCCTTTCGTAGGTTTTCGAAAAACTGAAAAGCTAACTATGACGGCTTCTTTGACAGCAGCTGGCAGACAAGCCACAAGCGAAAGGCGGCAGGTGACATCGCCAGCAGAATTTTTGTCACTTAGGAGGTAAACGGGAAGCGGAAGTACAATAAACAACGGCTGCAACCCGTTGGCCACTTGCCAAGGCATTTGCAAGGCAGGCAAAACTTGTTTTTCAACTTAAATTTTAATGCCTACAATATCAGGTGATAATTAAAAGCAAACAGCTAAGCAGTGCACTCTGTCGTATAGTCGACTGGCAGCTACTTATATCACAGAGTATGCCTATGCTGGGATTTATATTGGCCATGTCTGCGTGACGTGCCGTGTGACGTGTTTGTTGCTTGGAGTTTTATTCGTGAAATATGCGTGTCGAGGCTTGACATAAAATTATTTAAGATTTGGGGCATGGCCTAGATAGCGTACGAAAATTAAAATATTCCTCAAAGCATTGATAAATAAAAAATATAATCATAAAATATAAGATTAGATTTCTTTAAATTTTCACTTGGAAACATTTTATTTTGGCTCAAGAGAGAGCAGCTAAACATTATTTGCATATTTTACTCTTTCTGATATCAGAAATCTCCCACTCAATTAATTCTATATATTCATCTATTTAATCTTCTGCTTCATTGTAATTTGGGCTCAAACAGCAACACTAATTAGCATACCTATTCGGAGAGTAGATATTTAGGCGCCAAATGGCTCCATGTAAAGCAAAAGATGTCAGCACGTTCTATTTCTTGACGTGGCTTTTGTTTGTTTTCTTTTGCGCTGCATTAGAATCGCAATAAAATTTAAATTGCCAAACAAAAACGGGGCAAAACGTGCACAAATGTGCAGACTGATGGAACTGGCGTCTAGATAAACAGCAGGGTGGCGAGACAGTGGGTGGTGGTGTTGGTTGTTTACGGCAAATGTGCAAAAACGCGATTCAAAACAAAACAAAACAAAAACCGAACAGCTGAACGCTCCACGGCGTGGCGAAAACTGAGAAAGAGAGTGAAAAGGCGTGAGCTTGCGCTCTCGGGGCACGCGTGGGTGCTGGGTGTTGGGCGCTGGGCGCGAGCTTACAGCAACAACAATGCTCGAGGACAACACGCGGCATATACGCAATGTGACAGTTTTAGTGGTTATGGTCAAGCACAACGCTTGAGCGAGGGCACGAGCGAGCACACAGCGCCAATGAAACCGAAAGCGAAAGTGACGCCAAAAATTGTTACTCTGAGACACACCTGAACTAGGCGCAACAACAATAGTCAACGAGTGGGAAGCAGAGAGGCGACCACAGAACGCGCACTTCAAAAATTCGCCATGAAACGCCCGCCAAGATGTTTCAATTTCAGACGAGTGGATAGCTGGTGCTAGGGTTGGGTTGCTTACATTGTCCTTGCTAGAGTGATGTATATATCCTTTTTATATTCGGGTGTTTTGCATTTTTTTTCGGCAGGCAACCGGTCGCCTTAGCCAGTCTCTGCTATACTTACACTTACTCAGCCACTTTATTGGGGCATCTGCATACACATGGGTTAGCTGAGGGAATTAAAATTTTTTACGTACCTGGATGTGGCAGAGCGTTGGGGCTTATGGGGGCAGTCTTCAGAGTAATTAATTGTTCAACTGACAACTGAGGTTTTTGCTATTGTTGTCAGTGCGCACTGATGCGTTAAATGTATTTATATAATTTACTTAAGCACTTAATGGTATTTGTGCGAGGCATGCCACATACTTTACGCAATTCGTGTCATTCTTTGTTCGCTCTCTCGCACGGTTCCTTATAGAAAAAAGGGAATGCCCTGCTGCTTGCTCAGCCCTTTCCTTAATTCAATTACATATATGCAGCAAATTTTTTGTTGTTCCACATAATTTGGAGCAACTCAAAACTGAACACTGAACGGATACACAAAACGTGCACACACATAGATACACACAAGCATAGATGCGCACTCACACAAACACACACACGCATACACACGCTTATACTGGGACACGAGCTGTGGACTGTTTAGTCGAACGCAACTGCCACTTAAACTTGCCTTTTCACTAGTTTTCCTAGACTGAGGAAAAACTATTGTAGTTTGTTTGTGGCTGCTGGCGATTTTCCAGTTTTCTTTTTAGCGCGTGTCGCGACTTTTTAGCGCTCGGGTGGTTTCTGGCCAGGAATCTAAATGTCGACTGAAACAATTCCTGAGCATGCCTTCAAGTTGGCCCTATGGCAGCCAAAGCTCGATTTTAGTCTCCCAAAAGCACTCTCTCAAGCTCTCATTAAAGCTTTCTCTCATTTATTCTTCTCTCTCTTTGGCCAGTTGTTGACACTTGTTAGAGACTTTCTTGTGTTTTGTTTGTTTTGGCATTGGCTAGGAAGTTGTTTTGAATCCCCATATGGCGGACTGTGTGTCCATTGACTATCCGAAGGTCTTGATAAATTGCCGCCTTATTTTCGTATTACTGTTCCGTACCAAAGATAGTTGGCAAGATCTCCAAAAATATTTGACAATTCCAAGTTAATTTAATTAATATTAGGGATTAGTCGTGGCCATAAATGTAATAAACACATACACATATATCTATTTGATAATATATATAACTGTTAAGTTGTATCTTTTTTTTTGCTTAAGTATAATATTTAGGAAATTCATTTCAAATCACATTTGTATTATATCCAAAAATACCTCAACCACTTTCATATAAACTGGTTTCAGAACTTGTCAAATCTGATCTTAACGTTAAACAAACGTTAAAGATGTATGAAGATTACCATATGAATGTCTTCGTTGATTGGAAGCTATCAATTGTGAGCTGCGCCCATACCAAGACTTTTAACAACTTGGATAATAACCCCATTCTTGGTTTAAATGCCATTCATATTAAAACCATTTTCCATGTATGGCTTTTGCCAAATTGATGCCAAAACTTTCACTGACCCATCAGTCAGCCAAGATCGTAGTGTTGTTAAAAAACCTAAATGGAAATTGTATTGACAACATAAGATCCATATGAATTCAGTTTTAGTTGCCTCTAAGCCAGCGCAGAAAACAGTTGCGAGTTTCAAATTTCAGGCCACAGAATGCAATTCCAGCTACGGTCAACCTTTCTGCTGCTGGCGTGGATTGCTGCTGCAAACCAGATTCAAGCAGCCAGGACAACTGACTTGCAGCTACTCCAGTATTGGGAGCCGCAGATACAGATTCCAGACTACTCCGGGTTAGTCAAATTATATATAATAAAAATACATCTTTAAAAAATGCTCTTATCAGTAGAAATTACTGTTGCMATTATGGGATTTTGATTATATTATTCTTAATGTGTATATTTTTGGTTTTCTATCAGCAGTCAGATTGCTTATCCCAAACGCGAATTTGTGCAGAGCAGATTTCCGAGTGTCGGACTGGAGCGGCATTACCGCTTATCGAACCAACCGAAGGAAGACTCTACTAGCACAACTGAGCGGCCTTTTATTCGGGCCTGGAATAGCTTTTTACGAAGCGTTCAGCCAAATTTCGGTTTCCGCAATTTGACCAATCCTCTGGCCAACTTGTTCACGAATGGCGCAACCAACATAATTGAATCGGCGCCCGTGCAAGCTGAGATGTACACTGATGAGCAACAGGCAGATGAGGTGCAGCAATCGTCTACTGTTGCAGCGCAGAGTGCCAAAAAACGTAAGCGTAAGCGCCGTAAGCAGCAAAAGCGTAGACCGATGTATGACTCACAAAAGCAGGAGGAGCATCCGTATGACTATTACGGATCCACATTGCATCAGCCTATGTACTACTATGGCCCTAATGACTACTATGGCATACGTCGCTTGCAAACGTTTTCGGACATTGCTTCTCAGCCTAATTACTATGATCTGTTCTACAAAGATAGTTCAGTGGAAGGCGATGTGCCGCAGTATACGACTGAGGATAACGAGAGCTTTGGTAAACCTAGTACCAAACGCTTTGCTATAGTCCGACCTCTCACTTTGGCGATTCAGCTGCCAAATAGCGATTCTTCGGATGCAAGCGCACTCGATGAAACGCCTGACGACAGCGTAACCAATGAAAACGTCGATGAAAGTATTGCAAGCGTCGGCACTGATACCGAAGGCAACGTTGATTCCGAATCAAATTCTGCATCGAATGACGATCAAATGCCGCTCTCTGAGAGCGTGCGCAATGCATTCGGCACGTATATGCGCGACGATCGTGAGAGTCGTAAACGCCAACGCCAATCCGAACAGAAAGATATGGGTGAGCCAGCTAAATGGAAACCACGCAAGCAGCTACGTTACGTATTAGCTGCACGCCTGGTAAAGAACCACTAATAAAATATGTGTTTTGTAAATGATTAATATATTATTATGATGGTGTCTGTTAGTATGACTGTGGTGTATGTCGATATGAAATGGAGATGCCATCTGCAAGTGGGTAAAAAAAGAAAAGAGTTATGCATAGAGTAACATTTTCTATAATTGTACTAGGTTTATCAAAATTGAGGTAGATGTGTGAACTTACTTTACAATCACAAAAAACGTGATAGCTTTTATGTTGACCGTAAATCATAAGTCAAATGAGCTTCGTAATCCGCGAAGGATTGCCAGCATTGGGGTCCACGGGCAACGCCACATTCTGAACATGCTGCACATTGTGGAAGTATGGATGTTGCAGGGCGTCCTTTGCAGATATTCGTTGATTCGGATCGTAGCATAGCATTGACTGTTAACAAACGTTGTCGTTAATGTCTGCAGTGTAAGGTTTAGATTTAATTTGAGTTACCATAATGAGATCATGAGCTTCGTGCTCACGTAACGCTGCCGGTATATTGGGTTCTTCCCATTTTGGAAACTTTGGCTTAAAGTCTGGCAGCTGTGTAACGCCTGGCCATTTACTTTCGTCCGGTGTGCTTAGTGTGCGAAAGATGCGATACAACTGATCGATTTCGCTGTCACCTGGAAACAGCGAATGTCGCATGATCTGTAAAGCCAATGCTCGTCAATAAACAACCAAGAAACGGATCAAGCTGACCTACCATCTCAGCAAATATGCAGCCAAGACTCCAAATGTCCACGCCCGTGGAATAGAACTTGGTACCCAACAGTATTTCAGGCGCCCTATACCAAAGTGTAACTACCTCATGTGTGTAAGCTCGCATGGGTACATTGAAAGCACGCGCCAAGCCGAAATCTGCCAACTATAATCAGAAGATTAGTTGATACCTAGTGAGTAAATGAGGCTGGACTACCTTAATATTGCCTTCTGTATCAACGAGCAGATTTTGCGGCTTCAGGTCGCGGTGTAGTATGCGATTTGTATGACAAAAATCCAGCGCATCAAATATTTGATGCATGTAGCTCTGTAAAACGTATCACCATCGATATAATTATATAGTTTTGAATAAATTAATCTTGCTATTGGTCTACCCACTTTTATGAGCTGTGGTGTAAAAACATCCTTCTTTTTAT